AGTAACCACTCTCTACTGTATTTTTGCTTTTACCCTCCTTTTGGCTCCACACACGCCTCCTCAACTAGTTCTATGCTGAGTTGTGATGCCGGTGGCAATTCCTATGGTGCAGGAAAGTGAACGCGCTGTCAGGTTACCAGGTGTGACGTCTAATAAGCTAAAAGCTAAAACTTTTTTCTCACTTCTAACTTCAATGATACCTGAGGTCACAGTTCATGAAAATTCTTGAAAAGTGTATATTTTTGGTGTTATAGATATATCTTGAAAACCCACTGTTTTATTCTAGACAGAAAATCCAAGAATGGAGAGACCATATACATTTAAGGATTTTGTTCTTCACCCGAGAAGGTCAGTAAATATAAAATAATAAGATATTAAGTTTTTTTTTTATCTCATTATACCTTACAGTAGTCTCTTTGGAAATTCAAATTTTAAGCCTCTGTAAATAAGCTACTCTTAAATATTTGTTTTTAAAAGCTTCATTGCTATTTCTAATTAGAAAGTAATATATGCACAGTACAGAAATTCTGGAAATAGAGGAAAGTGATCATACCCCTTTGGGAAAGACTTGTCTCCCTACCTTAGTATTTATCAGACTAGAAGAATGAAATTTGTATTATTTTATATTTATTTTATACCTTACAGTGTATGTAATTTTGTCATACTGTGCTTTAAAAAAAATCACAAACATCAATCAATTCAAATATCCAACTTGATACACACAAAACCATTTTCAGGGAAACCTAAGTACATTTTGCATACTTTCATTTAAAAAAGGTATTTTCAGAAAACTCAAATATTTACAGAAAATAGCATGAGCAAAGACTGGAAATTAAAACCCAAATAGCATATTCATAATTCCATTTTCCTAAACTGAATTACTTGATTTTTGTCAAAATTTTTAAGTTTAAGCTGTAAATTAAACTCCTTTTGATCTTCTGTACCACATAATCAGGTAAATTCTAGTTAAGATGTGTGCAGATTCACTGTCGAAAAGGTCAGAGTAAAGCAAAGGAAGAACCCGTGGAAACAACAATATTTGTCTTGTTCTTAGAACTAGAAAACGCAGTTAAGAAGCATCGTGTGAGAACTACTAACATTTTTAAATAGAAAATTTTAAGTATTTTTTGTAATATAAATTCTTAAAACAAAATAAACGGGACAGTGCTCTCTGACTACATTAGTATTTACTATTTATACAAGAAGTCACATGTTTAATTTCTATACAAGTCTTGCAATATAGTCTCTTTTCTTCTTTTAATTTTGAACTGATTATGACATCTATATACCAAGAATAACCAAGTGTTTCTTCTTTGGTTGCTGTAGTAACCTGCTTTTCAATTTGTCAAATGCTTCTGATATCTTTATCTTCAAAAAACTATTAACAGTTTACATCTTCTCTCTGCACTGAGCACTACTGCAAGTGCAGAAGAAACTTTATTCAAATAGAAAATGTACTACATTCTTAAGGTTTTTTTGAGCACCACTAAGTCCAAACCCACAGGCTTATTATCGAGTTGGAAAGATGAAATAAGGCCTGTCATTATAGAGGGAGACTCTTCTATAAACTATTATCTGAGTGAGTTTTCTGTATCCATCCTTTAAAACAAGTTAGAATGTTCACACCCCCTTAACTATGGAGTCCTGTGCCACATGAGTGGCCTGAGAAATAAGCATCAGGGATTTTATTGATCACTCAGGAAAGGTGCACTTTCCAAATCCATGAGAACTGTGTGAAGAGGAATAACTGAAAAGATTAAAGGAGGCATCGGGGGTGGGTGAAGTAGTCCTTGAAGACAGGATAAAAGATAAAGACTCAGGGCTAGAAAGACAAAGGATGTCTTGTTACATAACTGAAATCTATAAAAAAAATCACCCCCAAAAAACTATAAGCTAGGACAAGCAAGGACTTCGTAAGTGAACAGGATGCTAGAATTGGTGGGGGCAGTAGACAGTTAGGTCCCCAGTTAGAAGCTTAAGAAAGACGGGCTTTTCAAAAATGTACATGTACATACACTGAGCAGCAACCCTGAGCTTAGACAACTCATTATTCAAAGAGGTGACACAAGATATAATATGAAATTATATTAGGTCAATTAATGTATGACAAATTCAAACAGCTGTCACAGACAGGCGGTAGGTTCCACACAGTTATCCATCCAGCCTTGCTCTCTACTTTTCTCTCACCTATACAACATGGCTAGATTATTATCCCTAAAACACATCTCTGAGGGTGCCTTGTCCTAGCCCCCAAGTCCTATGCAAAATAAAATCTAAAAGTTCTCCTGTTTCACATGGACCCCATCAGCTGGACCATTCCCACCTCCCTAATGTGTCCTGAGTTCAGCCAAATTCAGTTACTGCCATTTCCTTAACCACATCCCAGGTTTCCCATCTGTTTCCTTGTTTTCACTCTTTTCTCCACTCATCATGCCTTTGCCTTCACTGCCACGGATCAAAATCCCCTCTAGTCTTCTAGCCCCAACTCCAAAGCCAACTTTTCCTTCAAGTTCTCTCTGATCTTGCACTGAGACTTCCTTAGTTCCTTGTTTCTCTCATAACAATTATTTATTTGTGTATGTTCCTTTTTCTCCACATCTATTCCTTTTCCCAAATATCTTCCACACTGGAATTTGTCTTTGAGTCTCCTCTACTGGCGAGTCAGCATGCGATAAACTCTTTATTAAATGAGTGCTTTTCTTCCTAGTGTGAAAGTGTTGTGAATTATTATTTTCTTTTCCACAGTCACAAGTCAAGAGTTAAAGGTTATCTGAGATTGAAAATGACTTATTTACCTAAAACCAGTGGCTCCGAAGAAGATAATGCCGAACAGGCTGAGGAATTAGAGGTGAGACTTAATAAATGTTTGATTAAACTAAAAATAAAATAATATCTAATTTTTCATTTTCTATTCTCTGAAGAAAAAATATTCAATAAAGTTAAGGTGTGCAATAAAAGTTACTTACCTGATCTGGAGAAGGCAAATTCATAGAAGCAGAAAGGAGTGTGGTGGTTGCCAGGTTTTGAGGGAAAAGGGGAATGAGTAGTTATTGTTTAATGGGTCAGAGTTTCTGTTTGAGATGATGAAAAAGTTCTGAAACTAGACAGTGGTGATGCTCACATAACATTATAAATGTACTTAATGCCACTGAATTGTACAATTAAAAATAGTTAAAATTATAAATTTTGTTCTGTGTATTTTACCCCAATAAAAAGGAGGGGGCAGCATTTACTTACCTGGACATTTGTTTATTTTACCCAAGCATTTGTTAAGCATTTCCTTCCTCTAAGGATGTTTCTGTAGAATCATTGGCCTTACTGACGGCATTCTTAAAGATGAGAGAATAGAGAATACAGTGTTTATGAATGAAAGCATTTGTTGTAATTAAGTCATTAACTTCTTCTAGTTTTTCAGTTTTCTAAACCATGTCATGCTCCCCCTCCATTAAAGTAAGAACACAGTTTAGTATTTGTAAGTTAAATATATGGAAATTTTGAGGAGGCTCTACTAATTAGAAACTCTTATGAAATGTGATTCCTGTGACTTTTCCCATCATGGTTGGGGTGGGCTGGGGCTCACAGGAAAGGAGGAGACTAAGGGGAAGGGGAGAGAACTCAAGTGATCTAATAAAAGGCCACATTTATTGGGGGCCAATCAAATTTAACAGTCTTCCTGGGTGACAGGATGGGAAGAAGTTCAAGTCAAGGATTTGGGCAAACCCACCTGCATTCAGTGAGTGAAGAAGAGGCAGATAGCGTGTATTTGGAATAGAACTGGATGGGCATTTGGAGCCTGGAATCCTAGTCTGAACTTCTCTGAACCTCAGGTTCTTCATTTGCAGAGGGGGAGGGTTGTACCCTGTGACCTCTAGGGTTTCCTCCAGTACAAAAATTCATGATCCGAAAAGGCGATGAAAACATTTGCCCCTTGAGGTTCCCATTGAAGGGACGTTATCTTCAAACGATAACATCGTATTCTACAGCACTGACTGAAAGCACACCGTTATTGGTGCCTGTCTGCTGTGGCAGGTTCGGGGTGTGTGCTTTCCTCAGCAGGCATGCCTCTTTGACTGAAGGTCTGCTGGGTTTTTCTAAGGGCTGTGCTCTGCCTCACACGTGTATGTGTCTTGAGAGAGAAAGCTTGAGAATAAGCAGTGTTTTTGCAACAGGAATTTTTTACATACACTAATGAGATTTTACTTTGTGGGGAATTCTTTCTTTCTTCCTTCCTTCCTTTCTTTCTCTTTTTTTTCTTCCTTCTTTCCTCTCTCCCTCCCTCCCTCCCCCCCCCCCTTTCTCTTTCTTTCTTTCTGATGGAGGTGTACTGGGGATTGAAGCCAGGACCTCATGCATGCTAAGCAACCACTCTACCCCGTGCTTAAACCCTCCCCCAGAACTTTCTTTTCTTTAAATCAGAGACTGTAGTCAGCCCTTACTTTGGCGATCAAAGAACTCGGTGTCCTCGCTTAAGTCTAATTCCTTTATTTGGTTACTTTTTTCTTTTTAGTTTTTCTCTGATTTATCATGTAATAATCTTTTTTTTAAATTTATACATTTATTGAGTAGAATTTTCTCTCTCTGGGATTTTGGTGCACAGGGTATCCTGCACAATGGAATTTTCTGTTTGAAATGAAGGGTGTCTGCTGTAAAGAAAGAAAATTCTCTATTTAGTAACTTAAAAAAAATTTTAACAGCGTTTCATTATTTGGTAACCTGCTCCAAGTTATGCCCACACACACGTATCACAGGTACCTCATTCACAGGGCAGTTTCTGTGGGTAGAGCTGCTTCGCTGCATTTTGTGGTCTCACGTCTCGATGTTTGAGTTCCCTCCGAATGCACCTTATAATTTCAGTAGATGTTAGCGTGTAGGAGTTTATTTATGAAAGGCCCTCAGAATTCAGACACATGAATCTGTGCTTATTTATCTTCTGTGTAGCTAATGAGCAGAGAAGCCTAGTCTTTGACATCTAGTTGGTGACTGAATATATAAAATTCTACCATTTAAAGAAAACAATTGTAGTTTTCGAAAGAGGCTCACTCTCAGGCAGTGTGTAGTCCTTAGTGGGATAAAGTGTGACTATAATAGGTAATTATGTAATATTTGATTTTTGTACCCCTTGTAACTTTAGGTTTAGTTGTCTGTATTTTACATGATTACCATACAATATAATGTTTGCTGTAGCTCTGAATGCCTTCTTTCTGACCCTCTTTGACTCCCTGAAATTGTAGGCAGTTGCACTGAGGTTTGTAATTAAGTAACACATATTGATGCTTAGAAAATTATTTTGTGAATAATATTAACTGATACATGTTTAATAGGGAAGCACTCTATACAAAAAAATGAAAACTCATCTTTTCTGAACAATGTTCAAATCTGTAATTGTACTTCCTCGTTTAACTGAAACAGGTTTTTTAAAAATAGGCCCTTAATTAAACTAGTTTTTTTCCCTTTGCAAGTTTACATAGGTAACATAAATTCTATAAGTAGACCTTTGAGAAGAAATCTTCAAGAAAATTCTAAAAAATATATTTCTGGTACCATATTCCAAGCTCTGAATGTTTTTACAGTCTTTTACAGCAACAGTAAGGATCCTTTTATTAATAAATTTTATTCATCTGCAGAAAAATAATGTCATTTTTTAAATTAGTCTTTTTTTTTCCAAGAGAATGAAATGTAAAAATTCAACTCTCATGCTTTTGAAATTGAGACCAGGGAAATAAAATTTGATTTAGTATATATGAGACTAAGTTTTAGGTATATAGAGCGTATACCATGATCACTTAAAAGAAAGGAAAAAGAGAGAAGGAAGGTGGATAGAGACATAGATGGAGAGACAAAGTAAGAGGGGAGAGGAAACGGGGAGAGAGTGAAGTTTGGACAATAAAAAGCAAGAAACAAAATTAACGTGATGTCAGTTCCCACAGAAGAGGTAAGAAGAAAGGCAGTCAGTTTTACTTCCCCTCCAGATCCCTTTCCCCTGAATAATTCTGTCTGTCTTCCTCTCTCCTACCCCTGGTCTTCTGTTCCACCTCCGCCTGTAACCCTCCCATTGGAGCACGCCAAAGAGACCAGCCTTGCTGCAGAAACCCGTCCTTTTCTCCCTGCTGCCAGAAAATGTTTCTTTTCTTCCCAGCTCTTCTCCCTGACCCTTCACGTTTAGATTCAGCACTCCAGCATGGAAGAATTCTCTTCCATCTTCTAAGCAGTCTGCTGGCTGGCACACAACAGTCCTCTAGTTCTGGATCCCAAGTGCCTGGGAAAAAAGACTATATACTAAGAAAATTCTTGTTTACCTATATCTATGGAACCAAATACCATTGGTACCCCCGATTTGTCATTTTTAAACTTCGTTTTAGTAATTTTTGCCATGTACAAATTTAGGGGGTTATAATCAAATCAGTCTCTTTTATGCTTTCTGGATTTGGTGTCATACTTCTCCACTCTTAGAATATATTTTTTAGATATCCCAAGGTTTTTTCTAATACATTTTGGTTTTCCTTTTTACATTTTTTTTCCTTTTTGCATTTTAAATATTGCTCAATCTGTGACATTCTGATATAAGGTATGAGGTAGCAACTGAAATCAACTCTTTTCCCACAAATTTGAAATGTATCATATGCTAAATTCCTACAGACCTGAGTCTCTTTCTGAGCTTTCCGCTTCTATTAAGCTGTGTGTCTCTGCATGTACCAGTGCTACACAGCTTTAGTAATTGTGGCTTATGGTATATTTTATCTGACAAAGTTAATCTTCACTCATTCTTCTTCTTCTTTTTTTTTTTTTTTGGAATTGTACTGACTATTCTTGCTTGCTTCTATTTCTGTTTGAACCTGAGAATTGCCTTGTCTTTCTATTTTAAAAAAAACCCACAGTGTAGTTTTATTGAAATCTTGGCACTTTTATAAATTAACTTGGGGAAAATTGACACCTTTGTGAGATTAAATCTTTCAAGATCGTATTATGTCTTTCCATTTACTCAGGTCTTCTTTTGTATACCTTGAGGAGAATTTTTAAGTTTTCATCCCTAGTTTATTTATGGTTTCTAACTATATCAGTATTTAGCAGAACTTTTACTGACTGCCTTTTCTGTTATGTGTCTTGTATAAAAGCATGTCATTAACCCTCACTACCCTTTTCAAATAATTCCTTACTTTTTCCTAGCTAAGGCTTTTTGTGTATTTGCCCCTTGCTAGTCTCAGAGGAAATTTCCAGTGCCTTTCTAGCATATAAACAAAACAAAACTTTCTTTCTTTGGCTGTTTATTAATTGACCAAAATGCCTTTCCATGGTCCAGAGGAGAAAGAAAAGTCAGACCAGAGAATCATAATGACTTCTCAATCTCTCAATTATTTCTGAATCATTTGCCCTTCCCTATCACACCTCTACGTGTTTGACCTTCACCCAGTGAGTTTTTTTAGGTTTCAGAGAGTTATGTATTTCCATCATAAACAAGGTTCTTTCTCTATGGGAGAGACAATGTCTAATAAGACATGATCCCTGTTTATAATGTAGAGAATAGCATAAGATTACATTAGTCTAAACTATGCTTCTCAATTTCTCAGGGCTTTCCAATGTTGTTTGTTTATTTAAAAGTTTTCCCTGCCCATTTTCTTCTATTAGATGTATTTTAAAACCTTTCTTGAAAGAATTTAAAACAATTTCAAGTAAAATTTAAATGTAATCATTTTGCAAACTGAAAATCTTCATTATCATAAAATCTTCATATTATGGTCTTAAAAGTTGACGATGTGCCAGTTCTGTCTTTGCATAGTTTCTGGAACTGGATATGCTAAATCTCTTTTACAGTTGCCTCTAGCATAATTTATAAGATTAAAGAAATTAAGCTTCGAGTTCATTGTTACCGTTCTGTTTTTCAGCCTGGCTGGGTAGTTTTGGACCAACCGGATGCTGCTTGCCATTTGCAGCATCAACAAGAACCTTCTCCTCTACCTCCAGGATGGGAAGAGAGACAGGATATTCTTGGAAGGACCTACTATGTAAACCATGAATCTAGAAGAACACAGTGGAAAAGACCAACCCTTCAGTATGTGCTGATGGCTTTCATGTTTATAATCGGAATACATTTGACCACTAATTTTCATTTTGGACCCATGGCTCAAATGGATTTGTAATAGTATGGGAATCCCAGAACTGTAAGAATACTAGGATTTTTATGGCCCAGGGCTTAAAAAATGCTATCTTACCTGTTTCTTCTTTAAAATGATTTGATTGTGTTAAAAATTATTTGAGTCACCTTCTAACTGCTTCTTTATTTTAAGAGATGGTGAATTACTTGTTTTTAATTATTATGCAGCCACAAAAGATACATTTTTCTCTTCAGACTGATTTAGAAAATCTTGGAGACTTTTTGTAGTTTGTTACTAAAATATAGTGGAATGTTAATTTCTCCAGTACAGTATTTTTAAAATATAGGTTATTTATAAAATATAAAAGACTCAATAACAAGGTCTTTCTTTTGTTAAATACTCATTTGCCTTTCTGGTCAATATATACATAATTTCCACTGTACACAGATCAAGGACAGAATGACCTTTGAGGTATTCTAATTTATGTCTCCTCAGTGACATTTTTCTTTTGTTATCATCACACTGTGTATTTGTAAATATACATTGACAGATCCTCCCATTGTTCATATTGATTATCAAATATCCTTCCACTTCTTCCTGATAAGCCTTACAAAGTCTTTCTTTAGTCTTCTACTTCTTGACACAGACATAAAATGTTTCTTATTTGTTTATGAATCTTCTAATTTCTGGCTTTGGTATTTTGTGTCTGCTATAGTCCAGGCACTTTTGTACATATTTTCTGTTCTCAGATCCTTCCAAAGCAAATCAGAGATGCCAAGTTCTTCATGTCACAGAAGCATTGATCTCTGTAGAATGCCATACAGGGTGCAAAACTGAAGACACTATAAAATTCTGCCAAATTGCCCTGTTGCATACCTCGGTACGGTGGGAAGCTGGACTTGAGCAGAATCACATTTCTTTCACTGTGGCTGATGTTGTTTTCAGCCAACCAAAATCAGTTCTCTCGGGGAAAAAATGTCTGAGGCATTTTTAGGACCCCTGTGCAACAGTACAGTAAGAACTGGTCTTTGACTATCCTGGGCTTATATTGTAGTAAATAAATTAATAAAAATTTGGTTATTAAATCCTTGTACCAAATTCTTTATTTTACGGTATACAACTCCTTAAAATAATATAACTAATGAATGACTGGGGAAAGGGTGTTCGGTTTGATTTACCACACCTTTCCTAGACCCCAGCGTGCCTTTACTAGTATCCTACTATCTTTTTTCAGAATGGGCCCATGACTGTATATGATCAAAAGGAGATACCATTTAAGTTTAAGCTTCTCTTAAGTTTTTAGTTGCAGCATCCGTACACTCTGCATTCATGCATGGGAGACACTGCTCTGGGCTTAAGATCAATTCTGGAAAACGTTACTGTCTAATTCATGAAGATGTATACGTAACTCTTAAAGCTTCTGTTATTATGAACTTTCCAGCACTACTTTAGATTTTACCCTTGGAATACCATGGCAAAATAATAATATAATGAAATTATTTATGAAACTCAGGTATTCACTCATTCAACACATATTTTTGAGTGCCCACACATGTGAGACATTATCCTAGGCACAGTGATGAATGAAAATATCACTCAGGCACGTTACACATTTTCACAAAAATTTTAACTCCGCAAAGTACTCTGAAGGTACCAATGTGCCCATGGCTTAATCTGTGTGTGCTGAACCAGCCTTTGGCCCAAAACAATAAATTCTGGTCTAATACAAGTATTTTTGTTAATGAACACAGAATTTTTGACTATCATTTGAACTCTCTTCAGACATAGTGATGGCGTTCACATTTCTAACACAGGGACAACCTAACGGATGCTGAGAATGGTAACATGCAGCTGCAAGCACAGCGTGCTTTTACCACCAGACGGCAGATATCTGAGGAAACAGAAAGTGTCGACAATCGGGAGTCTTCCGAGGTAGAAATAATTTTCTTATTCTTGTTGACAGACATACAGCATTAGACGAAGGTATGTGTGGCTTAAGCTTACTCTCTTCATTTTTAGAACTGGGAAATTATAAGAGAAGATGAAGCCAACATGTATGGCAATCAGGCCTTCCCATCATCTCCACCATCGAGTAACGTGGATGTCCAGACTCATCTTGCAGAAGGATTAAATGCCAGACTCACTATTTGTGGAAATTCAGCCACTGGCCAGCCAGTAGCCAGCTCAGTAAGGAAGATGCTCTTAGATTTTGTTGTCGCGTCAGAATGTTATATTATATATACTATTCCATGTAATATCTAACTTTTACATAAAATGTCTTTTTTCTCCAGTTTTATCGAGATATAACTGACATAACACATTGTCTTAGTTTAAGGTGTACAGCGTAATGATTTGAAATACGTCATTGAATATCTCAAATCTTATCTGGAACAAGGCTAAAGCTATAATTAGTGAAAACAAAACGGCGGGCACTCACGTTTGCCAGGATAGGGAGGTGTTTGGTATTCTGTGGCTTGGGCAGGGCCCACGTTTTGCTATGTTCAGGCATGACTACAGAGTAGCCTTGATGTTGTCTGGATCCTGCTGCTAAGTGCCAAGCCAGGTCCTGGGTGTTCAGGCTGCTTTTCTGCTTCTCGGTTATATCACGTCACCAACGCACATGTGAATAAGAGCTGATGTAGGCTGGACAGGGAGATAGACGATCTTTTCACCCCAGCAACTGCTATAAAAATTGCTGTCCCTCGGGTCCAGAGGCAAGTGCTCCAGTAAACGCTGCCATGATGAGATCTCTGTGGCTGGTTTCTGATCTGTATCATCAAGGCAGATCTTTTTGATGGAAGACGGAGAGGCATTTGAGGGTCCTATCCTATGGTCATTTCCAGTTGGAGTTCCCCTCTTTTCACTCAGTCACTGTGGAGGGCTGACTATAGGCACGTGGCATGCTGGTTAAGTATCTGTAGGATACAACCCACCCATTTGTTTAGATATTGCCGGTGACTGGTTTCACACCACACTGACAGAGTTAAGTAGTTATAACAGGGACTGTATGGCCCACAGAAGAATATTTACTATCTGAACCTTAACAGGAAAAGTTTGCTGACTTCTGTTCAGCACCTTCCTCAAGAAGCTTCAGTGTAGACAGTTCTGTGTCAATACCTGTGTGATTATCCAGGAGCAAGTGTGCCTGCCCCCTTCCCCTTCTCTCGTCCACCTGTCTCTTCTCTCTTCTATTCATTTCATTTTTTTTTTTGTCAGGGGAGTGGGAAAGGTCAGTCAAAGACTTAAAAGATAGACTGCATTGATTTGCTGGTGATAAATCACATAAGATCCTATTCCCTTCCCTCCTGTTATTTTTTTTTTAATTATAGACATAATAGATGGTATTCATACAATGAAATACTGTGCAGCAATTAAAAAGAATGAAGTGTTTTTGAATGTACATGATGTACGGAACAGCCCCTAAGAAATACTGCTCATTGCAGAACAGCAAGATACTGAACAGTGTGTTTGATGTGCTACCATTTATATAAATTATTTAAATGGCAGAGAATAAATATGTATATCATATTTCTTGAAAACTAAAACAGGAAACTGGTAACATTGCTTGCTTTTGAAGGGAGGAACAGACAAGACATATATCTTTTGTATTGAATTTCATACCCTGTGTGTAATAATTCAAAAAAATAATTTATTATTTTTAAAGTCTTGTATGGTCATGGTTAAAAATTGAAACAGATACAAAAAAGAAAAAGAAAAACATTAAAACAATATTGAGGCATATAAAATTAAAATTAAATCTTCCATCTTACCTCTAAAATATGCTCCCTCAATTGCCATTAATGGTTTGGCCTATATTGTTTTAAACATTTTCTATATATTCATAAACATACATGCACACACATATATTTATATATCTTTCTTTAACCTGAGATTATCTTTTTGGTAACTTACTTTTTTTTCATGCTGTATCATACACATTGGACCATTTCAGTAAATATAGATGTCCTCTTTTTTTTTTGCCTCTCTTTTTTTTAATTAAACTATAGTTGGTTTACAATATTATGCTAATTTCAGGGGTACAGCAAAGCTTCAGGGGTTTTATATATATATATATACTTTTTCAGATTCTTTTCCATTATTGGTTATTACAAGATATTGAATATAATTTCCTGTCCTATATAGTAAATCCTTATTGTTTATTTTATGTATAGTACTGTGTATCTGTTAATCCCATAATCCTAATTTATCCTTCCCCGTGCCTTCCCCCTTTGGTAGCCATAAGTTTTTTTCTATGTCCTTGAGTCTATTTCTGGTTTGTAAATAAGCTCAGTTGTATTTTTTTTAGATTCTACATATAAGTGATATCATATAATATTTGCCTTTTTCTGTTGGACTTACCTCGTTCAGTGTGATAATCTCTAGGTCCACCCATGTTACTGCAAATGGCAATATTTTATTCTTTTTAGCTGATTAATATTCCATTATATACACACACACACACCCCACATCTTCTTTATCCAGTCATCTGCTGTTGGACACCTAGGTTGTTTCCATGTCTTGGCTAGTATAAATAGTGCTGCTGTGAACACTGGGATGCACGTGTCTTTACAAATTAGAGTTTTCATCTTTTCCGGATATATGCCCAGGAGTGGGATTGCTGGATCATATAGTAGCTCTATTTTTAGTTTTTTGAGGAACCTTAATGCTATTTTCCACAGTGGCTGCACCAATTTACATTCCCACCAACAGTATAGAAAGGTTCCCTTTTCTCCACACCCTCTCCAGCAATTATTATTTGCAGACTTTTTGATAATGGCCATTCTGACTGGTGTGAAGTGATACCTCATTGTAGTTTTGATTTGCATTTCTCTGATAATTAGCAACGTTGAGCATGTTTTCATGTGCCTATTGGCCATCTGTGTGTCTTCTTTGGAGAAATGTCTGTCTAGGTCTTCAGCCCATCTTTTGATTGGGTTGTTTGTTTTTTTGTTATTGAGTTGTATGAGCCATTTGTATGTTTTGGAAATTAAGCCCTTGTTGGTCACATCATTTGCAAATATTTTCTCCCTGTCCATAGGTTGTCTTTTCATTTTGTTGATGGTTTCCTTTGATTAGGTCCCATTTGTTAATTTTTGCTTTTATTTCTTTTGTCTTGGGAGACTGAACTAAGGAAGTGTTGCTATGGTTTATGTCAGAGAATGCTTTGCCTATGTTCTCTTTTATTGGTGTCATGTCTTATATTTAAGTCTTTAAGCAATTCTGAGTTTATGTTTGTATATGGTGTGAGGAAGTGTTCTAATTTCACTGATTTACATGGGGCTGTCTAACTTTCCCAACACCACTTGCCAAAGAGACTGTCTTTTCTCCACTGTATATTCTTGCCTCTTTTGTCAAAGATTGACTGACTGTAAGTGTGTGGATTTATTTCTGGGTTCTCTATTCTGTTACATTGATCCATATGTCTGTTTTTGTGCCAATACCATGCTGTTTTGATTACTGTGACTCTGTAGTATTGTCTGATGTCTAGGAGGATTACGCCTCCAGCTTTGTTCTTTTTCTTCAGTGTTACTTTGGCAATTCTGGGTCTTTTGTGATTCCATATGAGTTTTGAGGATTATTTGTTCTATGAAAAATGTCCTGGGTAATCTGATAGGGATCACATTAAATCCGCAGATTGCTTGGGGTAGTATGGTGACTTTAACAATATTATTCTTCCAATCCAAGAGTATGGGCTATCTTACCACTTCTTTGTTTCATCATCTATTTCCTGTGTCAGCATTTTATAGTTCTCAGCATATAGGTCTTTCACCTCCTTTATTCCTTTTGGATGCAATTTTAAACTGGATTTTTTTTTTTACTTTCTCTTTCTGATACTTCATTGTTAGTGTAAAGAAACAATAGACTTCTGTATATTAGTCATGTATCCTGCTACCTTGCTGAATTCACTTCTTAGTTCTAATGTTTTTTGTGTGGAGTCTTTAGGGTTTTCTATATAGAGTAAGATGTGCTCTTTTTAAAACCAACAACAGAAAAATAATCAAATATCGTTCCCTTGTGCAAGGAACACTTAAGCCATCTCTCCAGTCTCCTTTGTTGGACTTGAGATTGTTTACAGTTTTTTGTTATTGTAAACCATACTGCAGTGGCTATTCTGACTTAATTTATATGTATATTATAAATTTTGATGTCGTTATATAACAGAACTAAAATATTTCCGATAGTGACAACAGCGTGCATATAAAAGCACAAGGAAAGAAAGAACGTGAGATTTCCTGGAAACAAGTAATCTGGGATGTCCAGTGAGGTGGGAAATGCTGGAGCCGTCAGGAGGCTCTCTCACATGGTGTTCTGTGCTGTAGATTTTATCCTAGTGACTGCAACAAGCCACCGAAGGGCTCTGAGCGAAAGAATATGATCAAGCCTACCCTGTAGAAGGCCCTCTGGCTGCAGTGTGTAGTGTGGAGATTAGAGTTAAGCAATGAAATCTTTAAGTGGGGAAATCTATTAGGATGCTGCTGCAGTACAGCCAAGGTGACAAATGATGAAAACTTGACTTTTTTTTTTTCCAAAAAGTGCAAGGGAAATGTATTTGAGAACTAGTAAAGAAATAGAATGCATAGGATCTGGCGACTGACCTGGCTGTCAGGGACAGGACGGGGAGAGGGGCGGGGGTGATTGATACCTGATGAGGGCACCTGCTGGCCTCACGTGCTACCCCTGCAACGAGGAGTTTGAGTGGGTGTGGGTGGGGAAAACCAAATCCAGTTTTGGACACAATAAGGGGCTCTCTGTTAGACACTGAAGAGAAAGCGTCCAGGAGACAGTCTAGGTGTCGGGGGAGAGGTGTGCACCGGAGGCTGGCCTGGGGCTGAGCCTGTCTGAGCAGCTCCCTGCAGTCTCCACGCAGGTGGAGTGTGTGGTCTTTCTTCTGCCCCATCGTACCCCTCCACCGCCGCCCTACATGCTGTTCGAAGACGAACCAAAGACCTAACGTTATTATTGTTCCTTTTTTCACTTTTAATAAGAATCATTCCAACAGAAGAGGCAGCTTACAAGCCTATACTTTTGAGGAACAGCCTACACTTCCTGTGGTGAGTTTTATCCTCTCCCCTCAATCCTCAATAGAAATATAAAACCTAGCAGCTTTTTTGGGAGGGGGTACGGGGGACACCGAATATGACCATTTGGCTGCCTAGCACTGCTCCATCACAGCATCTGGGCTCTGGGGGGTGAGGTTGGGGGAGGGGAAGCGGGCTTGGTGGGCCCTTTAAAGACCAAACCGGAGCGCTGTCTCTCCCATAGTAAGAAGGCCAGTCCCTGCGTGCTGGTGGCTGTGGGTGGCGGCTGGGCTTGGTGGGCGATGCACTGTGTGGGCGGCAGGCAGCATCCAGTTCGAGACCCTAGTGTCCAGCGGCCTCTGCTCTGTGCGCAGCCCACGGCGTCTCGCAGCTGTTTGTCTGCCCCGCACCTGAAGGTCCATCAGGGGCCCGTCACTCCAGCAGGTGCGCACTGGTGTCGGCAGGCTCAGTGGCCGGGATGGGGCCCGTCAGCCCCCTTCACCCCCTCCCTTCATCCTCCAAGCCGCTGAGCCATCTGCCGCCCCCTCAGTAGCATCTCCAGCCACAGTCTTGACTGGAGCTTAGACTTAACAACTTCACGCTTGGACTGCAACTCCCTTTGGGTCTCCCAGCCTCCATCCTCTTCCTGCCTCAACTCTCATTGTTTTGACTTTGTCTCTTCCTTACATGGTCCCCACTTCTTGTTCTTTAAACCCAACAAAAGAGGCCCAGGCTCCCAGCCTCTTCAGCCTCCCACGGACCCCTCTGCAGCCTTCATTCCCGTCTGGGCTCTTTCTTCCCAACGGGCTGCCGCATCTCCTGACTCTCTCCCTGTTCCGGGTCTGTGCCCATTTCACTTCCCGGCTGGGAATGGCCGTCTCACATTTTTGCCACCAACCGTTTGTGATTTTGAATGGCAGTCTGTATATTAATTTTGAAAAGTTCAGATTGTTTTCAATTTTATGGGAGCTCCAGGATAGGAAGCCATAGACTCAAAAGTCCTTGACCCGGGAGTGGCTCATCCTTCTTAAAAGGTGATTCTGCACCAAGAGAGGAACACAGACCCTGTGCTAAGGAGGGAGGGGGCAGCCATTTGTGCAGTTGGCTCAGTCTGTATTGACCATAAACAGGAGCGTGGATGCCCTCCGCAGCTTTCTTCTCACTTACGGCCCCGTCTGGCCTCCTCCATTCAACTGGAGCTCACTTAAGCAGAGGCCCCTGTTTTATCTCCCACTGTACTTTGTCGTTCTCCATGCAAGAAAATAGTGAATTTCTGATTGACTGACAGGCACTCATCCAAGAAACAGTCTTAAGTGCACCAGCTGAGCCGCAGAATCTAGCGATGGATTGCATCATGTGTACTGGGAAAGCTATTTCCGTGCCTTTTTCTTCACAGTGCATTGATTAGAGTTTTTTTTTAAGCAGCTTTCTGGAAATACGATTTACAGAACATAGAATCTACCCATTTTTAAGTGAACAAAAAAAATGAGTTTTAATGAATTTGTACAGTTGTGCAAACATCACCACAGTCAGGTTTAGAACTCTTCCATTGCCGCAAAAAGTTGTCTTAATACCTCCTCTCGGCCCCAGGCAACCACTCATCTGCTTTTTTGTAAAAATTTCATGTAAGTGGAATCATACAGTATGCCATCTTAAGCGTCTGGCCTCTTCCACTCAGTACGATGTTTTTGAAGTTTATCCATATTACGTGTCACAGCAGCTCGTGATAATCCATTGTGGAGATAAATCTACTATGTTCCTTTTAGCTGCTCACCAGTTACTGGACATTGGTAAAGCTGGGCAACTCTGACTTCCATTATTTTGTAGACTGACAGTTCATCATAAGTGTCCGCAGTTACATCTACGCACTGTGTGTCTAGGGAGCAGTGTGTCTAGTGAACAGACCAGCGGTGATCGTCTTTATGTGGAAGGCACGTTAGGGGACCAGGCCAAGCCTTGAAGAGTCTGATCTGGTTCAAAAGATGAAAGGAAGGCCAGACCTGGACTATTTTAAGTAAACCTGGGTAACTAGACCTCTCCGTTCATTTGTAATAAACTACAACGATCAGCCCCTCCCCAGCCCTCATGGAAAGAAGGCAGGAGTAACTTTTGACCTGGCAGCTACGGGCCATAGCTTCTGTAGTTAGACTACCTGAGTTCAGGTCTCAGCTCCGTACTAGCAGTGTTGTATGTGAGGAAATTACTTTCATTTTGTTAAGCTTCGGTTTCCTCGTAAGTCCAACGGGCCACTCATCTTAATTATCTCATTAAGATTCGTGTGGCGCTTAAATGACATGGTCTGTGTCAAAGCAGTTAGCGTGTGGTTCTTATTACCGTCATGGTTTTTAGTATTAACACTCTCATCATTAGTCTGTTATCCTGAGTTTGTTTTTTTTAAGTGCAATGCTGTACACTTTAAAATATGATTTAAAACATGAGTCATTTTAAAGAGAGCTAGCAGTGAAAAGGGGATGTGGTCCTTTTAAAAAGGAGTCTTTCCTATTACTCTTTAATTCTCCTTTTCTTTATTTTAGCTTTTGCCTACTTCGTCTGGGTTACCGCCAGGTTGGGAAGAAAAACAAGACGAAAGAGGAAGATCGTATTATGTGGATCACAATTGCAGAACTACTACCTGGACAAAGCCCACTGTCCAGGTACCTGCAGCCCATCCGTTAACCTGCTTTCTCACATCATTTCAACCATCACGTTTTTCTGTGGAAGCTGTTACGTCCCTTTGTAGTATCAGCTGGATGCTAATTGCCTGCCATTTCCTGCAGGTCTCTAATATACATGAATCACCGCTTGTGATTAGGTCAGACAAGCCCAGTTGGGAATAAGAGGACAAAGTCGGTAATCTGGTCCACTGGGTTATTCTGTAATTTGAATGGTTAAGATCATTATTTTGCTAAAAGATAATCATGGTGATTAGCACCTCTCAAAGAAATTTGCGATGATGACACCGTGTCCTTGGCAACAGTGAGTGTCCTTTGTAATATTTCCTTGTGAGCATTTAGGAAAATATTTATTTCATCTTATCACCATTTCTCGTATTGAGAAATATTTGAACACTGAAAAGTACAGAGAATAATACAGCAGATACCCACTTTCTTAACATCCAAACATATCACCGTTAACAAATCACCACTTTTGTTTCTAGACATTTCCTTTTTTAAAATAAAATCTTACAGATAAAACTAAATTCCTTTTAGCCAAGCACTTGGTCCCCCGTAGCTGGAGAGAACTACCAGCTTGAGCTTGTGGAGTAGTCTTCCTGCCTGTTCTGTACATAACATAGAGAACTAAATGATGCAAAATATTATTGATGTTTATGTGTCATATTTTGCAAAGATGTTATATTGTATAATTGTAAATCTTTTTTTTTTTGCTCAACTTTGATTTAAAACCCTGTCTATGTTGTTTTATATGTCGATTCAGTGTTTCTTTTTACCACTGCCTTATGTTTCGTTGTGTGAATATATGACATCTCAATTATCAATTGCTGTGGTGGGTATTTGCCATTCATTTTGTCTCCCTGGCATAAGAACCCGCTTCCATAGATGAGGGGTTCCCGCTCTGTGTGAGTCTTCGGGGCGAGCAAAGACAGCCTCCTCCAGCTGGCCCTGTGACTCGCCTTGCAAGCAGGGCACGGACCCACTGACTCGGCCTCTCCAGTCATGTGCATCCACAGCAGACTGACGGTTAATCAGCATCTTCCCACTCAAGAATTAGCTGAGAAATTACCAATTATTTCAAAAATAAGCTTCAGCGAAACACTTTATTAGAAAAATGAGCTTCCAGTGTTTAGGCCTGTTTATAAATGCGTATTCCGTTTTGCAAGTTAAGTCACCTTTTTAACCACAGCCATTTGTGTGTTCTCTCTAAAACACTACATCGTGATTGAATCCACGCGC